ACCGAGCCTTGTCCCCATGATTTACCATCTGTTTGATTTGATGGCACTGAAGGGTTGTGCCTTCACGAATCCAAGCACACGTGCAACCATTGGAGCAGAAACAATTGATCTTGGTCCCTTTTTACCAGATCACATGCTTCCAATCATTAATGGCCCACTCAGCATGCGACTCCACAAATTGCAGCAAGTCCCGGATATTCTTCCAGAACAGTTGCGGCTTCTTCTGCTGCTGCACCGCGACGAGACACGCGGATCCTAGCGTGATTCTTATAGTGCAATGGTACATAGTTGACCGTGCTACGCTACCCTCAGTTTCGCGGCATCTACAGTACAATAGTTTTCACCACTCTGTTCGTGATTTTACCCTACAGCGGTACAACGAAAACAATCCATGATAAGACGAGGCCGATCTGCTAATGGCATCTTTGGCCATACCTCCGCATTCTTAGTCTCAAAGATAACATTCAATCCAAAATTGTGCACAATACTCTTGCCTATGCTCGACTCCTTAGCATTTTTCCTAGTGCTCACCCCCTTATGCAAAAGAGCGGGTCCAGGAGGAGTGGGAGAAGATTGTTGCACCCATGACTTGGTACTCATACGCACGTTAGGAAGACGTGCTGTGAGGAGTGTATCTCGGAGTCGAGTGTAACTAGAGGAAAGAAACGTATAGCGGAGTCCGGTTGAATCGACGGAGGGCAGAGAGGTGAGGACAAGAGGAAACCCGGGGCAGAGGGGCCGCACAAAGTTCAAGGGGGGTCAGAGGGGCGTCACCAAGCGGGCTGGTGACGGGGGGAGCGCTTTTCACTTGGGTGAGAGGAGTAGATGGGGTCAGCACGGAGGGACGGGAAGGCAGTGATTGGCGGAGCTTGTATAGCCTTGGCATGCATGCATGGCATGGTGTATTCTAGTATGTTCTGCATAAGGCGATCAACTTGGCAAGGACCAGTCTCGCCTGGCAGAGTGTTCTTGCAGGTAGCACGTCTGTGTATATAGGGTAGCACATGTTAGGAGAACTTTGCTCGTATGTTTGTTTCCTGCATACTCGAATAAACTGCACTTATACTTAGAGGATGTGTTCGACAGCAAGAGCCAGTTGCTAGATTCTGAGTAAGCTAGATCAGACTATTTCAACAAACATACGAGCAGAGTTCTCGTTTGGCGAGGGAAGATGAATCTACGATCTGGAAACAGATATCCGAGGTCAGGATCGGATGGCGATCTTGAGAGCGACGGATTCTGGCGAAGAGGACAGGGCGGTGGATCTCGCGGTGCGGAGGGTCCAGAGCCTGCCGCGGCATATCGTGCCCCGCAACGATGCACCAATCAAGGGGATCTAGCCGGTCAAGTGCGAGGGGACGATGTCCGGGGGGAACGGATGCGCGGGCAGCGCGAGGTGATCCGCACAAAAGATCCACTGCACAGACCTTTTGAGGCATCGGGGCCGAGTCGTGAAAGGCAGCAGCAAGAGGAACTGTCTTCGGGGTCGTTTTCCGCGCTGAGGATGCGAGGGGCTTCGCTTCGGGAGATCCGCATGCCAGATCGCTTCTCAGGGACTCCCGGCGAAAGAGTGGAGTCGAGAAACTACTAGATGCAGCTGGATAACATGCGGTATCGGTGGGCGAAAGAGGGATAAGACAGAGACGACTTCTTCTGCAGCCTGTCTAGCACGCTCAGCGGGGAGGCCGAATAGCTGTACCGGACCGTAAGAACAGATTAAATGCATTGATAGGCGATGCTTCCGGGCCAGGAATGGGAAATGGTCGACGCTTTCTTGGAGCAGACGTGTTACAGTCACTTGAAGGTATTGGCGGAGGACTTGGAATACCGAGATGAAGCGCGGCTGATCACCAAATTTCTCGGAGGGTTGGAAAAATCTCTGGTGCGGGATGTAAAGGGAGAGATCTTCAGGATGGGAGGGCGCGCGACGCTGCGGCACGCCTACGACCTGGCAACGATGTACGAGCAGGGGAATCGAAAGTACGAGCTGGAGCGGATTGAGTGGATTCCCTTCTCGATGCATCGCTGGCGGGGCCTCCGGTGATGCGTGCGGTGTTGCCGACCAGGCCGCCTTCTTCCTCTCCTGCATATTCTACTCAATCCGCGCCAGCGATGCATCAAGGGACAGAAGGAATGGTGGGACCGGATCGGCGAAAGTGTCATCGCTGCGGTGAAGCAGGGCATCTGCAACGGGATTGCAAGAAGGCGCTGACATGCGATCTTTGCGGGAAGGAAGGCCATCTCCGACGCGAATGCCCCACCATACCAGCCTGCAACCACTGCGGCAAGCAGGGACACCACGTGGAAGAGTGTTATGCAAAGAGAGGAGGGCAAGAAAGGGAGCTCACCCTATAGGAGTTGAATGAACAGATGGCGAGGCTGCAATGACAAATCGCTGCTAAGAAGGGGGAGGAGGGGCCTAGCCAGGCGCATCTCACATACGCCGACGAGGAGTATGACGAAGGCAGCGAGGCGTTGTTCACGCTCATGGTGCGCACGCTGCATACGTACAACACGGGCATAGCTACGGCCAGAAGAACGGTCCTACCGAGGCAGGAACCAGGCGCACAGCAGCGTCATGTGGCAGTGGAGAGAGACCCTGAGGTTGACAATCCGACACATCGACCTCCATCGGAAAGCCTATTGTGTGAGAGCACGATGCTCGTGATAGAGCGTAAGGTTGTGACGGCGGGAGGATTGGCAGTGGAGACCACAATCGTGGATACAGGAGCGCACCACGTGCTGCTCGGAAGGGGGCTTGTGGAGCGGCTAGGACTGAACGACGTGGAATAGGTACAAGAGCAGGGCTACCTGCTAATGACAGCGGAAGGAGGACAGCCGAAATGGATGCCACGCAGCAAGCAACCAGTCAAGATCGTGCTCCTGCCGGGGGAAAAGGACAAAACGCGGATCCAGATGCAGTGTGGGGTATCCCAGTCATAAGATTACGACCTGCTCCTGGGCATGGAGCTATTGAATAAGGTGGGAGTGACCCTATGCACCTGGCAAGAGAAGATGGTGTTCAGGCTGCAATACTGGAGAGAGGAGGGCCCAAGAGGGGTGTTGCCGGTGAGGTTCGTGCGGCAAGACCCCCGAGCGGCATACCAGGCGCGGACATCGATGCTAAAGCCGCAGCTAGCGGAGCCAGAATGGAGGCAGAATAAAGCAGCATGGGAGGAGATGCACTGAGACGAAGAGTGGGCAACGAGGAAAGAAGTGATTCCTGGGTTGCTGCTTGACTGGGAGCTGCCACAGAGGCCGGCGGTGGTCCTAGAGCTCTTCGGCGGCATAGTGAACGGATTGGCATCGCTGCTGAGAGCTGGATGGGTAGTAGAGAAGTGGATCCATGTAGAGCTGGAAGGGACCTCGCAAGGGATGGCAGCAGAGCACGTGAGGAGGCTGAGGGAGGAGTTCCCAAGGCAGCTAATGGAAGGAGCGGAAACAGGACCATGGAACGCGTTGGTGCATGATGTGCGCGAGGTGACAGATGAACATCTGGACGCATGGGGCGACATCAATGTACTAATCGCCGGCTGGGAGTGCCAGGGCACGTCATGGGCAAGATGGGGATTGGGGATGCAAGACCAGAGGACGGTGAGTTTGAACAGCTGATGCGAATCATGAAAAGAGTGAACAAACGTCAAGGGGAATACATGTACCTGCTGGAGAACGTAGACACAGCGGTGGACCAACGAGAGCCGGTTTGGAGGGCGCACAGCAGGGTGGTCTCGGAGCTGGGGGCAGGCGTGGCCTTTGATACAACGCAGACGGGAAGCAGGGCACATCACGTCAGGCGTTACTGGACAAACGACATCACGGAGGCAAGGATGCAGTACGAACTAGCAAGGGTGGAAAGGCCGCAAGGGCGCCTGGTGCGAGACATACTGGAGCCGTTTTGCAGGGAGGCAGGCGTGGACAAACTGGACCACTCAGCGCACTATCCTTGCAATTGAGTGGGACATCCCCGAGAGGCCTGGCCAACGCTGGTGGCGTATGAAGGGGCACACGCGTACTGCAAGTTCCAAGGACAACTATGACCGGGCATGGTATTCGATGATCAGACGAATACGTGGAGCGAACCTTGACCGCTAGAGCAAGAGCTGACACTGGGTATGGTGCAAAGAGCAAGGACAGCACCAAACGTGGCGGATTAGATCAGGAACCGTGCGGTAGGACGAGCCATGGACGTGCAGGCGGTGTCCTGGATCTTCCATACAATCCAAGCGAGCAAGCAGCAACTGCAAGTCGAGAAGGCGAGAAGCAGGGCGACCGACGAGAGGCATGAAGCATGCAAGGAAGGAGAAATGCAGAGTGGCAGAATGGAATGGCCGCCGAACGAGGCAGGATGACGGCTGATGCCATCAGAATCCTTATGCTTCGGTCTGATGGCTGTGGAAGCCGGGATTGAACCTGAAGTAGGGCGAGGAGCTGAAGAGGCTTCTGAAGGTGAACAAGGGAGCATTTGCCTTCGCAGTGCAAGAACTGGGGAAGTGTACGCTGAGGGAGCTGAAGATTGACCTGACGAGTGAGACGCCGTGCTTTCAGCGGCGACGGCGCATGAGCCCAGGGGGCGAGGAGCTCTGTCGAACGAAATGAAAGGAATTGAAGGAGGCAGGGCTGATTCGGGAGTCCGAGTCAGATTATGTAGCGGACACTGTGGTGGCAACGCGGATGGATGTGACGAAAGAAGAGCATGGGCAGAGGATGTGTGGCGACTACAGATATCTAAACAAGGTAACCAAGCCGGATCGCTACGCCATGCCGACCACCGAAGAGATCTTCGCGACTTTGTGGGGTGCATTGGTGCATTCGACAGTAGATCTGTGACAAGGGTTTAATCAGATCCCCATCCAGGCTACAAAGTATAAGAAGACGGCCTTCCACGGTTTTGACGGACTATATGAATGGGCATTCATGCCGTTCATGCTCCGTAATGCATCAGCCGTCTTCCAGCGCATCATGGACCGAGTGTTGCAGGGCATGGACTTTGCCGCGTGATACATTGACGTATAGATGGTAGGTCAGCCCAACGTGGGACATGTGATGCATGTGCTAGAGGCGATCCAGAAAGCAAGCTTGACCTGCCATCCAGGGAAGTGCAAGTTCGGCACGAGAGGAGTGGAGTATCTGGGGTTTTAGGTTAGGGAGGGGTGCATGACAATTCAGTAAGCAAAGGTAGAAATCCTAGACCGGTTGGCCACACCTAAAGACAGGAGCACCTTGAGAGCGGTGCTGGGGGTTCCTGAATTACTATCGGAAGTTCATCCTGAACTTCAGCAGGAGAGCAATGGCCGTGCATTGGCTACTTCGAGAGGATCAGCCATGGAACTGGGGGCAAGAGGAGGAGGTGGCACTGAAAGATCTGCGTGGTGAAGATGGGCCCCTTCCTATACATGCCCAGCAAAACAGACCCCTTCGTCTTGTACACGGACTGGAGCAGTGCGGGAATCGGGGCGGTACTGTGCCAGGAGCTGAAGAAAGAGGGGGAAAAGGAAGGCGAGAAAGAAGAGAGGGTAATTGCCTTCGCCAGCAAGAGCTACACCGCGACGGAGGCCAGTTATAGTTCGTACGAAGGTGAAGCACTGGCGGCAGTATGGGCAGTGCAGCATTTCCGCATGCAAGGATTACGCTTCACACTCGTAACAGACCACCGGCCCCTGACGTGGCTGATGAGGAACCAGACTCTGACCGGACGAAACGTGCGGTGGGCGATGAGGTTACAGGAATACGAGTCCGACATAAAGCATCGGCTAGGGAAGACCCTGCAGCACGTGGATGGCTTATCGAGGAACTCACCACGGAGAGCCACTGCGGGCTAAGGAAATAGAGAGGTAGGGCACAGCAGCACGAGGATAGAAGGGACCAGAGGATATCTGGGCGGATGAGGAGGCCATGAAGTGGATCAAGGGAGAGGCAAATGAGAATGAGGTTGTGAGCGAGCGAGCCCGTAGCAGGGGGCAGCACTTCAGGTGGTTCGGGGAGCAGTTGCAGCTGCAAACAAAAGAGTGGTGGAAGCTCGTGCCGCGCCCGGAGGAGAGAGAAGAGATCATTAAAAAGGTGCACAGCAAGCTGGGGCATTTCGGTCATGCAAGGACGACGCAACTGGTGGCTAATGCCTACTGGTGGGCAGGCCTGGGAAGGCAAGGGAGGGAAGTAGTGGGCCAGTGCGAGGTCTGAAGCCACAGCAGGGCAACTCTGGAGCAGGACAGAGGGCACTTGCGCTCCCTGGAGGTCACAGAACCAATATTTCGATGGTCTTTGGACATGGCCAGCGAACTACCAATCAGTCGCAAGGGTAAGAAGTACATACTAGTCATGATGGAGCACGGCAGCAAATGGGTGGAAGTCAGGGCACTATGCAGCAAGAGCTTGGCATTAGTGGAGGAGACCTTTATGGACCAGGTGCTGACTCGCTTTGGGGCGTGCGCCGAGGTGGTAACAAACCAAGGGATGGAGTTCCTGGGGGCTTTCGAGCAGCTGTTGAAGGAAGTGGGTATTACGCACAGGAGTGCATCCAGGTATCACCCACAAGGAAACGGCTTGACCGAGAGAATGGTGCAAACTTTCAAGCGAGGACTGCGGGCCTACGAGGAGGAGAACAAAAGAAAGTGGGATGAGGAGCTGCAATGGATAGCAGCGGGGCATTGCTTTAGCAAGCAAGCAGCCCTGCGCTATCTATCTCCGAATTATCTGTTGTTTGGCAGAGAGCCGATTCCGTCAGTGGAGGCATCGAAACTGCAGAGAGACATCATGATCTTAGAGGATCTGGACAAGTGGGCGGCACTGGTGGCGGCCAGGGCAAAGTATCTGAAGGAGCTGCTGCCGACAGCGCTGAAAAATCTGCAAACGACACAGATCACGGACGCAAAACGGTACGAACAGCGGCAGCAACAGCGGGGTCTCCTGGGAGGACCGACAGTGGCAGTGGGACATGAGGTGTACTTACAAAAGGCGAAGCAGGACCAGCTGGACGTGGGGCTGACGACTGAGAGGTGGGGGGTGAAGGAGGTGAAGCCATCAGGGGTGCTAGTATTGGAGAGTGCAGACGGCGGGGTAAAGCACGACCACGTGACGAACGTAGCACGGGCAAGGGGGACGCAGCAGCAGGAGTAGAGTCCCAGCAGGCTAAGCAGGGGCCGGCCACCTCTGGGAGGGGGCAAGTGGGGAGTCAACCTGAGACACTGTAGGCCACCGGCAGAGACAGAAGCGAAGGATAGAAGAGGTGTGCAAGAGCTGTGTCCTATGAAGCCGAGGAGAAGGGAGAAAGGGAAGGTTTGGAAAGGAAGGGAGCCAGCAGAGATGGGTTTGCCGACAGCTGTCGCGCCCATGAGTTTGTACTCACACGCACGTCAGGAAGAAGGGCTGTGAGGGGTATCTCGAAGTCGAGTGTAACAGGAGGAAAGAAGCGTATAGCGGAGTCAGGTGGAATCGAGGGAGGGCAGTGCGGCGAGGACAGGAGAAAACCCAGGGTAGAGGGGCCGCGCAAAGTTCAAGGGGGGTCAGAGGGGCGTCACCAGGCGGGCTGGTGACGGGGGCAGCGCTTTTCACTTGGGTGAGAGGAGTAGATGGGGTCATCACGGAGGGATAGGAAGGCAACGATTGGCGGAGCTTGTACAACCTTGGCATGCATGCATGGCATGATGTATTCTAGTCTGTTCCACATGAGGCGATCGACTTGGCGGGGACCAGTCTTGCCTCACAGAGTGCTCCTGCAGGTAACAAGTTTGTGTATATAGGGTAGCACCTGTTAGGAGAACTCTGCTCATATTTTTTTTTCCTGCGTATTTGAATAAACTGCACTTATACCAAGAGGATGTGTTCGACAACAGGAGCCAGTTGCTAGATTCTAAGTAAGCTAGATCAGACTCTTTCAAGTGGGGAGTCAACCTGAGACACCGTAGGTCATCGGCAGAGACACAAGCAAAGGATAGAAGAAGTGTGCAAGAGCTGTGTCCTAGGAAGCCGAGGAGAAGGGAGAAAGGGAAGGTGTAGAAAGGAAGGGAGCAAGCAGAGACGGATTTGCCGACAAGATCCTTGCCGAGGTTTGCACTAATGGCGTAGACAACATGCCTAGGAGGGTGCGGGTGGTGATCAAGGCCAAGGGTTGGTGGACTAGGTACTACAAATGTTGTTTAGACGTTTACTCTCTGTCCTGAGAAATATTTGTACAGATGTACTCGTTGTATATCTTTTAGAGTATTAGTAAGATCCAATGTACTATTCTGGATTTAAGAACTATGAATGCATCCACTATGTGTCCTTCCCAAAGCGTACCACCATTAAACATTAAGGTTTAATGCACAGTGGTCTTAAAGCCCAAAAATCCTAATTAATACAATGCAGACGGACAATTATTTCTGTCACTGTAGTTTGCCTCCGGCCGTCTTGGAATGTTTTTCCGTGCGCAAGGTATCTGCCAGACGTACACATTGCCGAGCTCCTCAAAGTAGAATGGGTCGCTAAGCGACACATCCGCTTGGTCATGGAGGTAGCTCGCACCTCCTTAGTCAACGCCAGTGCACCCCTTTTTCTGTGATCGTTCGTCTTGCCCTACGCATCTCACCAGCTTAAACCTGTGGTCGCGCTCCCTTTGCCCACATGTTTTGCCTACCCTTCTCTGGACCGGGTCCCCTAATGACGCCTCTGCATGCCACGTCTGGGACAACCTTGCTTACGTCCGCGCCACTCGCGCAGACTAGCTCTCAGCCCGCACTCTCCCCTGTGTCTTTCTCGGTTTTCCTCTTGACGCCCCTGACTTGTTTTACACCACCGCTTCTACCGCTCTCGTCATGTTACCTTCAACAAAACAGTCCCCTACTACACCTGCTTCCCTTACCGTAGCTCTCCTGTCCCTCCTCCTCCTCTCTTCCTTGCCCCTACCTGGCTTGCCGCACCAATCCCATCTTGCCCGGCCTGTCTGGTATCTCTCACGCCACTCCGTTCACCTCATTTGAGCTCGTGGTGGAGCTTGCTAACTCTGGGGGCCCCGTTGCTGGGGGTGCACCTGCTGTTCCTCTAGCACCTCTCCCCTAGCCCTGGTCCTCCAGGCACCTCCACAGCCTCCCCCCTTGTCTTAGCAGCAGCAGCAGCAGCCAGAGCCGCAGCAGCAATTCAGCTGCCGCAGTAGCAATAGCAACAGCAGGGGGTAGTGGGTGCAGGGGGTGCTGACTCTGGGGGTGCAGGTTGTGTAAGTGGTGCGTCGAGGGGTGCTAGTCTTGGGGGTGTTGTTTTAGGGAGTACAGGTGGTAGTCAGGGTGGTGCTGGAATTCTTGGAGAGCACAGGCAATTGCAGCAACGGCAGTCGCCGCAGCAGCAGCAGCAACAACAGCTGTCTACTCTTCATCTCCTTGGCCTTTCCTCCGGTTCCCCTGACCGACCGCCCATCCGCCCTGGGATGGTGCCTTGTTTTTCTTGAATCTTGGTAAGGAATTTGGTATCACTGCGAGTGTTCTTGCCCAAGTTAGAAACTCAACTGAGGGAACTTGTAAAGGGAACCTAGTCTCTGACTTGCTCTCATACCATATTGGGCTGAGAAGAGTCCTAGGATCCTTGGCAGCGACTAAGTCCTTGAGTAGATAGAGTGCTTGATAGCGCAACGGAAGTCTGAGTTGAACCCTTGTACTAGTATGTGAGAATAAGTGATTGATCATAGCAATAATATACGAGGATATGAAATGTCTATGTACAATGCACTTCAAAGGGTACATTCCCTTTACGAATCGATAAGTACGTCTCAGGTAACCACCCGTGCTGTAAGACCAGGACGGTTGTTTTTCTTTGCTGCCACGTTGACTTCGACTCTTGCACGTCTGACCACAAGATTGCAAGGTCAACGATCAGCGACCGTTGCCCTTCGCAACCTCCTTTGTGTGTCGTCAGACTACGACCGTCCGAGGGTAATGTAGCAAGGTTAACTCGTCAGTCTTCGTTGTTGCGTTACTCGCATATGTGTATTACATGCGAGACTACTGGAATGCTTAAGTTTCTTCTGCATCATTTCTAACATATTTTTCTTATGTTTCAAAATTGTTAGCAACAGAAAGACTTCTGTATCCTGACGTCACACCACTTCATGCACGCCCTAATTGGAATACGTAGGGGAAGATTCCAAGATGATAACATGCTAGAAGCATACCTTTCTGCAAGCAGCTGTATCAAATAGAGGTTTCCCTTGCTGAGTTTGTGCCTTGGAGTAGTTACTGTAAAATTAAAAGAAAAGGTTGGACTAGGAAGGGGGAGGGGGAGATACAAAGATTTTTACTCCCTAAGAGCTGACCTAGCTAGGATATAGAATTGCATGTGAACTAACTAGGATACATATATGTGTTATTTGACACACCCCCTAGCCTAGGTAGTGGCAGCGTCTACCAGACAAGAACAGAACTAGGGCAACACTACTAGTCTAGCCTCTGGAGTATGTAACAAAGCAGCTCAGGGTGGCACTACTAGTCTGGCCACCGAGATAGGGGCCAAAAGGCCAGTCAGCAAGCGTACCAGGACAAAAGGTGTAGAACAGTAAGTACAAGCTGAAATAGCATAGATCAGGATACAAGGAGCAGAGAGGCTACTGAGACTAGACCGAGCTGAGTATAGAACCGTTGATGGTCACGAGGTGCTAGTGTCTTCGTGAAGATTCTGTATTAGCAGTGTTGGCCTCAAAGACCAACTGCACTACACTAACCCAACTGCACTGCTGAAACTCACGCAGCAGGAAGTACCACAGCTGGTGTTTTGCCCTGCCCTCAAGTCAATCCTCCTAACACTGGAGGATCATGGCCCTGTTGTTAGCAAACATGACCGAGGCAGGGCTAGGCTGCTCACATAATCAGTGAGTAAGAACGT